TTTCTCAAGATACTTGAGTTACACGCGCCTAGAGCAGCAGCCATATCAGCGCTCGGACCAGCCTCATAGTTGTGTCTCCTTCTCGTCAAAATACTTTTAATTAATACGAACCATGAACAAACTGTTCGTTTTTTCACATACCCAACCTATAGGCATCGTCATTCATTCACCTTCCTTTTTTGCCAATTTATACTGAATTGGTAACGTCAGGAGTTTGTTACTTGGTAATGTCAGGAGTTTGTTACTGCGTCTCGAATCAATTCTCCGGGCTCAGTGATAATAAGAACAACAGTAACAACCATGAGGCTATGGCACAGAGCTGTCCATTTGAACAGCGTGGCTGGATTAAATATTCTTTGCATTTGGTAAGCCAGCAAATGCTCCTTGTTGTTGATGATGACCCTGAAATTATCGAGAGTTCAGCTGTACTCATAGGTTTTTTTTTTTCATGAGAACATGTGTCTTTTGAAACAAGGAAAGTGTCAACTCCTAGTACTCCAGAGATATTAGTGCTCCTGTTCTGGGGGCTATCAATGCGCTCGCAGAAAGAAGACAGAATATGACAAAATTGGGTAATTGAGAAATGATGTGCCTTGCAGATGGACAATGAGATGATGTGGAGAAAAGAAAAGGGTCTTGGAGAATTAAAGTAATTAAAATCTTTGACTTAAAAGGGAGCACAAAGAGCTCATTAGCATTTATCTCAAAAGCAATTGGAGAGGTGATAATAATGTAAAAGGAATAGAAAGCAATACTGGAGGGGTCCAATTCTAACTTTGGATGATTATTTATCGTTCGCATTGACTTCAGTGGAAGATGAACATGGAGATCCGAGGGCAGAGTTTTGGCCAGAAGAATGAGTAAAGCAGATATAAAATATACTCGGAGTCGTGACTCTGTCACAAGAACACACCATAAACTGTATTGAACTTCACTGTTTTGGTGCAACTTTTTCCCATCCTGTGTGTCAGACAGTTTAGCTAAAAACCAGTCCAAACAGATTCCTGAGGAATCCCGGCCCATGACCTCTGGGGAGCGTCTTTTCAGTCCCCTCTCCTTCCCGCCTCCCACATCCTCCTAGATAGTTACAAATACAGATGTGTCTCTTGCCAGTAAGAGAGGGAAAAATCCTCTTTCGGGGTCTGTGTTTATGCTGTTTTACTGGTCAACAGGTAGGAAGCAACTGTCCCCTTTTTACATGTCCAAACTCTTCTGGAACCCACGGGGGAGCCGGTGAAGAACCAAGAGCTCCTGTGCTGCTTCCAACTCACCTTTGCGATCATTTACCTGAGCTTTAGTCATGTGGCCTTGGTAGAAAAGAGAGATTCATCGGAAGCACCAACTTCCATAAAAAAATCTATTGAAACACAGAAAGAAAAGAAAAAGATTAATGAGGCCAAATAGTGCTTGATTTACATGAGAGGATTCATTGTGTAACCCACACAACTCCTGGGTGTGGTGTTCTGTCCCATCGAGACCATTTAGAGAGAGAGATTAATGAGTCTGTTCTACAGCCTTTGCTAACAGCCATATGGCTTTTAGCTCATGCAGTCGAGGCTCATGCACTGCAGTCCCAGGTTTGATCCTCCCTGCCGACGACTGGAGTCTGTTGGTGTTACAAGTGGGCACTTGTAACGCCACCAGATCCTAGTCGTCGACAGGCGGG